TGTCAATCCATGCAGAAAAATAAGACAAAAGGCAAGAGTCAGATGTGACCATTAAAGCACAGATAATAGACACACGCTGGCCAAAAAGAACTGAAATTGAAAAAAAAACTCTAACCAGACCTCAAGAAAACTGGGTTATTACTAAACAGCTCTCAACTATTAACACCCAAGTTCCTTATATTAAATAATTTCTTAACAGACATGTTAGACATTTTAATTACAGGTCTATCCTTCCTATATCCCTTCCCACCCCAACTCCCAAAATGTACTACTAGGGATGAGTATAATGTTATGTGGGCAGAAATTTACAGATAACCACTTTAACCTGGAGCATGGAGCTGAAAACTTTAAACTTCAGTTACTGTGCACTGTCCATCAGGCCTTCTAGATCTGACACTGGCACTCACTGGTCCACCCCCTGCTGCTGATCGATCAGATACTGTCTGGTTTGCATTAGGAACCAAAAGTCTCTGCTGGGTCAAGGAGTGTTGTGCAACAAGTGCTCCCACATCCTCACCATCACTACTGGCATCGGACTCGGTGTCTTCAGTGGACATGTCTGGTGCTGGTACTCGGCCTGAAGGTGGCAGCTCGTGATCTTCCTCGCCTTCCCCTCTATGACTCCTTTCTGCCAGGCTGTCTCCACTGAGTTGTAAATGAGCAAAAGAGTCTTCCAGAGAAGCGCTTGCTTCAGGGGATGGTGTTGCAGGGCTTGTTAAGTGACCATCTAGTGATGCCAGGGGCCTTACAGAAGACACCAACGGCTGAACAGAAGCTCCACTCGGTGCCTAGCCGCTGTCCGCTCCATCGGCAGAGCTCTCGCGCGCTAGGTTTACAGGATTTGCCTCACAGTCCAGCCTAAGTCCAGCTACTCCCTTCTTTGGTATATCTATTATATCCCGCTTAATCTTCCTGCGACGTCCGTGTTCATTTCGCCTATATTGAACCATATTTTCAAGATCAGCAACATACAGAAACCCGGCAATTAACATTTCAGTGCTCTTTTTACCTTTTGAAAAAGCATCTTCCAGCTCTCTACTAGTGCGCTCATCATATTGCCACCACCCATTTCTTCCTTCATAATACCATGCATATTCACCATTTCCTCTACTTGCTGCCTTGAGTTCCTCTGGTGACAATAAGGTTGGTTTGTCAAGGAAATCTTCAGGAATTTCTTGTCGACAGAGGGCACAGCGCTTTCCAAGCCATGAAGCTCCCTTTACACACAAATAGCAGAAAACATGCTTACAGGGTAGACTGACTGGGTGAACACATGTTTGCAGACAAATGGCACATTCAGGGACCGTTAAAG